GCTCCACTGATTCCCAAGCGGTTCTTTGGCAAGGCCATCACCAGCTGGCTTTCACAACCCTTTCGCAGCTGCCACCACCATCGCCCTTCCCTTTTCTGTTTATTTACTTATTTTCAGTTCTATAGTGCCCAGTAGCAGAAGCTCTCTGGGCAGTTCACAATTAAAGAAGTACAAAAGTTATAATAAAAATAGAACACAATCAAACATGGTATAAAATTGCAATGTGCAGATTTACAACAGCTAAAAATCCCGATATAAAAACTATAAAACAGTTTAATACCTAAAACATTTTCATTAAAAATGGACCTGATTAGAACAAGAGACATAAACCATCACATACCATTAAACGCATGGGAACAGAGGGCAGTTTTAACCTGATGCCAAAAAGATGACAAAGTTGGCACCAGGTGCGCCACCAGGTGGAGGTGGCAATCAGGGGAAGGCTCCAGATGAAGACTGTAGGGCCCGGGAAAAATGAGATTGGGAGAGGCATTCCATCAGGAATTGAGGTCCCAAGCCATGCGGGCCTTTATTTGTTAAAACCAGCACCTTGAATTGAGCTTGGGAGCATATAGGCAGCCAATGGAAGCAGGCCAGAATTGGTGTGAAAGGTTCAGACCATCCGGTTCTTGTTGTTAGTCCGGCTGGAGTGTGTTGCTCCAGCTGCAGCTTCCAAACAGTCTTCAAGGGCAGAAGACTGTGCCCAGAGAGTTTCTGAAGCCCGTTTGAGATGCCAACCAAAGATAGCCCCACTAAAGTGTCCAAGTAGCACACTAGAGCAGCTATCACTGATTTGTCTTTTTTAAGATACCAGAAACATGCACAAATATTCTCATAATGTTTAATTATTTTCTAGTTGGTATTTTGGAGGTATACAAGAGTATACCTTGAACCAACCAAAATGCTGTCTTGTCTGGTTAATACCTTAGTAAGTACTTTTTGTCAAAGTGCAAGAAGCAACATCTCTGGACATTGATAAAATGAGGCTACCAACAGGTTAATCTGTTACTTTACTTTTCATTTGATAGCTGTCAAAAAAACAAGCTGTCAAGAGAAAAGCAAAGCTGCAAAGAGATCTTTACTTACAAAAAAATGGCAAATATATCTTCCCTTTGTGATCCTCTAGTTTTTAGTATTGCTCTGATGATCTCATGCCCCCTCACCTTTTCCACACTTCTCCAGTCCCTTAGGTACTCCAGAAAGATCTATGCAAAATCTTTTATGCAAGCACTTTTTTGACAGCTGTAAACAGAAAAGTTTCTGTTTTGCAGTGTCTCTGACAAGACAAAACAGGATTGTTTTATGAAGTTACCTGGATTGACTCCATAATGCAAGCCAGTGTCTGAACAGGGCTATCATGTATAGGACATTTTGGAGGGCCTGCAAGTTGACTGGATCGTACGTAACAACAAAAGCATGGTTACCTATTAAACGTACAGGGATGCAATGAATCATGTTAAGGTTTTGAGATGGTGCATTCAGATGGTCATTTTGCTACAGATTTAGCACAACCCATTAATATGCACATTTCTCTGCTAAAATGCTTATATAAATTGGTTGAAAGGAATAACAGATCTTTGCTCTCCTGAGATGGTGATTAAACATTGATATTGTCTGTTCCTGAGAGTCAAGTCCTCTTAGAACACAGTTGCAGTACCTGGAAGACACTTCATGCTATCTGCATGTTCCAACAGGCCACGCAGAAAGCATTTCCCACACTGCCCTACAAGCCTTGCTTATGCCTTACTCCTGCGAAGCAGCCTCCAAGATTGGAAGAGGAACCATGAGTAATATTCTGCAGTTTCCTGGCCCCATGAGCTGTGTATGGATGTCTGGTATATACGAAAGCTACGTGCACCAAGAAATGTGCACAGAGGAACCAGGGCAGGCCCAGGAAAGCTGAACGACTCAGGACAAGGCCAGGCCTGGAAGGATCGACCCAGTCTCTTGACATCCTGCTTAAGAAATGGAAAATACATCCAGCAGGGAAACTTCCTTCCGAAAGATCCTGAAACATCTTGAACTTCCATATGATTACATTTTTCTGGTATAAACTATTATAAACACCTTCCTTCTGCATACACATTTCAATTGGGTTCCAGTTAGTACTATCACATGGATCAATCAATACTTTGGTCCCAGTCCTGAGAAAGTTAACTTTGTGTAAGTACCTTGAAAACTGGCAGAATTTAGGTTGTTTGCAACTTAACTCAATCCATTGATTTAAAGGACTTAAGCACAACTTATTTGCTATGGGCTGGGCCATGTTGTCCCACTTTTGAAATTAAAAGTCCAGTGCTCTTTCTATTAGGAAATAAACATTCCTCTAGAGAATTTAGAGGGATTTTTCTTTTTTAAAAGCAATCCAGGTTATTCATTCCTTAGATAAGACTTTCAGATTCCAATACAGAAAGGATTACAAAAACAACCTTATCTATATTATAACAAACAAGGTCTGGAACATTGACTAATGACAACACTCAAATGCAAATACCAGTTGTATTTTGGTTTAGCAACTGTCCTTGCCTTTGAGCCCCACACAAATAAATTAATCATGTTATCACCCTTTTACTGTGGAAAAAGAGGAACCTAATCTCTTTGCATGTAAGTCCACCAGCACCATTTTTGCAAAGCAACAATTATTTAATTGTCTTGTGCAAAAATAAGATGGAGCTGCAATAGTTCCTGTTTCACTTTCCAGGGACTACCCACAACCCATCACATTTTTAGTTGAATATCTAAAATCCTTCATGGTATTTTTGGTGGATTGTTAGGCGTTCCCAAAACATGTTTGCTGAGATAACTGGGGTAGGGTGAGGGAGTATTTACTAGGAGTACTAGCAGGTGGGAGGGATTCTTACTCCTTGTGTTTGCAGATTTTCCTCTGCAAATGCTCCCATTCCAGTGTTTTTCCCCTTCAGGTGGGCTTGCTTTTGGTTCCAAAGCTGGAGGGGAAAATAATTAATTAAAACAGCTGTGGGTGGGAAGAAGGTCAGGGACGAATTCTGCCATTTGGCCAGTGATGAAGCTATCCCAGGCAGGTATTTGATGTCACAAAGGGAAGTAAATTGTTGCTTTTACCAGTAGGAAAGCCAGCTTGTCAGATTTGGTGTATCAGATGCCAAAGTATCTTGACTTGCAAAGTGGTGGGCAAAATGCATTTACTTGGGCTTGGGCCACCCCTGAAAAAGAGTTAAGTTCTCCATTCTCACTGACGGAAAACGTTTTCCCCAGCCATTGCACTGGTGTTTTCTGGTCCTGGCATGCAAGCACAGAGCTGTGTTCTCTTTGTGCTTTGTAACAAAGTGCTGTGCTTGAAAATGTGGGGAATTAGTGCAACGACCCTCCATTTGCAAGCAGAATTGCCAGGAAACTGTAACTGCTGAGAGAACAGCTAGTGCCCAACATCAAAATGGTCCTAAAACCGAAAGTGGCATAGAAATCACTAGAATTTCAGTCATCAGAATTCTGTTCCAATTTGTGTTTCACTCCTCAAATAGATTAAGGTAGTGAATCATACACCTGGTTTATTTACATAAAATGTATATCCAACGCTTAATTTACAAGCCTGAAAGGTTGTCCTCCAACCTAAAGTTCTCTTCATAATCTCAAAGTGATAAAGCATGCACCGTGATCTTAAGAATGTTACTTCTGAAGTAAGCCCCACAGACTTTTTCTCAAGGGGGGCAGTTGACAGGTGCCAGTGATGCACATGGGGGGGGGGGGGGGGGGGGTGAGGCGCCAGCTTGCTTGGGAGGAGATCGAGTCCAAAATGACCTCCTCGTGAGCAAGCTGGCACCTTGCCGTGCTCGTGCCCAGCGGTGGCTTGCTGGCGAGATTGTTTTCTCCAAATGTTTTGCAGAAGCTGGAGGGTGTGATGGCACTGCAGGAAGAGATATTGACAAGCTCACAGGGTCAGATTAGAATACCAGCCTGAGAATACCTGAGAGTAACCTGTAATAGAGGATACCCAGTCAGCACAACGAACTGAGGGTTGTTCAACCCTTGCGTAACTCCCAGTTGGTGGGTTTAGACAACACGGCACAGTCTCCCCCTAGGGGTTGCATATTCCAAATGCATCTACCAACCTGGGGTGTACCTAGAATGAGCCTGGTGCACAGGTGATATTAAAAACACGTTTTACATTTGGCTTAATAACCGGGTGTAGTGGTGAGAGTGCTGGACTGGGAACCCGGGAGATCTGAGTTAAAGCCCCCGCTAGGCCATGAATCTCACTGGGTGGGTGGTCCCTAAACTCGTGTCCAGCCTCCTCCTCCAGAGCCTCTAACGGCTTGGATCCTCTCGGGGAAGAACCTCAGGGTCTTTTTACCTAACAATAAAATGGAGCTATGTATGCTGCTTTGGGTCCCTCCCGAGAGGAAGAAAGGTGTGATATAAATGCAGTGTACGTACTTATAATCAGATGCGATGCCAGGCCCCTAAAGCATCGCTTGCGGGGGAAGGGATTCGGGCACTTTCTTGAATATACCAGAGGGAACGAGGCCTCCGCGAATGCGCGCCTCCGCGTGCGCGAGGTTCGAGGCTTGTGCAAGCCCTGCCATCGGAGACCAAAGCGGGCCGGGCCAGCGCCTTCCTTATCGGCTTTCCCAGGGCCACGCGGCAGCCCCGCGCTCGGCTCGGCCCGGCCCGGCCCGGCCCGGCTCCTCTCCAGCAGGGCTCGGCCTGGGCGCGTCGCGGCCGCCGCCAGCCAGCCAGCCAGCCAGCCCGCAGCTAGGGGCTGCTGCTGTGCCCGGCTCGGGCGTTAGGCGGAGCAGCGCGGGGAGCAGCCTCTCTTGCCCGTTCCTCTTCCTCTGCTTCTCTTGCCGCGGAGGGCGAAGCAAGCCCGGCCGAGGGAAAGGCCGCCAGAAAGCGGCCGCGTCCAGGCAGGCCACGTGCGCGCCGGGCCGCCGCCGGCAGAGCAAGCCTCGCACTTCAGCATCGCGAAACGGGCCTGCTGGCCGCTTTCCCAGCCTGGGCTCCGGCGGCCGGTCCACCGGCGGCCAGCTCCGCGCGCCCGCGCCCACTGCCTCCACATCCTCGGGAAAGAAGAGGCGGAGGAAGAAGAGGAGGCGGAGGAGGGCGGATCCTGTCTCCTCTCCGCGCCGGGGATGTGCGGTTTGTTTGTGTTTTTGCGCCCCCCCACCGTCTTCCTGTGGCCGGCTAGCCTCGGCTGAACCGGGCCAAGGCGCCCGCAGATCAGGGCTGTGGGTCTGGGGCGCCCCCCCCCCCGCCGCTCGGATTGCCCTCGGGGCTGCGAGGATGGAAGACGCGCCCCTAGAAATTTCTGGCGGCGGCGATGGTGGTGGTGCCGGCGTCCCTCCTCTTTTTTTTTCCACCAGCGGCAGAGCAGGGCTGTGTGGGAGGAGGGCAGGAACAGCGGCGGCGGCAGGGATGGACTTGGTCTTTGGGATTTCTGGCTAAAGGCAGCAGCGCAAACACGGCACGCGCCAGACCGGAGAGGAGCCCGGCGCGAGAGGAGCCCGCCGCCAGCTGCCGCCCGCGCCTGCTGCAGCGCCTCCTCCGCCGGCACAGCCCGAAGCCGCGTGCATAAAGGGGCTCGCTTCCCGTTCCTCTCTTCGCCCTCGCCGCCTCCCCGCCTGCCTGCCTGCTGCAGCAGATGCGCTTGGGGTCACCGCAGAGCTGGGACTATGGTGAAATTTCCGGCGCTCACTAACTACTGGCCCCTGATCCGCTTCTTGGTCCCTCTGGGCATCACCAACATAGCCATCGACTTCGGGGAGCAGGTAAGGGGCCGTCCCGGGCCGGACAGCCTCCCTCGCGCGTTCTCTCTTCCTTTGAAACTCTTTTCTAGGTGCTCCCTCGGAAAGGAAGCCATCGCCGAGCGATGCAAGTAGCCCACAAGGTTGCCACGGTGCTGCTGTGCCGGGCTATTTTTAGGCTCCCTAATGCTGAGTGATGACAAAGCGCGCCGCGCGCTCCTTTTCCCAGGGTGCCCGGAATCACTGGCCGCTTTTAGGTACAAAGCACCGGCTGGGCGTTTGAATGTCAGAGCGGAGCCGGCTTGCTTTTTCCAGAACGTGCAAGCGGCGAGGGGCAGGCCAGCGCTAGGCGAGCGGGCTTAGTCCTCAGAATGGGTTTCAGGGATCCAGTTTTGGGGAAGAATGCAAGAGGCAGCCAGGGAGACTTGAGGTGCTTAGGCGGTGGGAGGAAGCATCCCTGACCCGCTGGGGAAACTGTTCAGAGCAGAAAATTCCCACTCTAACCAGCCATGCACTTCGCTGTGTCTTGAGTAAAGATGCAGCCATGCCTCTTTCGGTTTTTTTGTATGTGCTCGCCATGCTAGGTAGCAGCACCGTTGAGGATGCAGTAGAGACTAGGAAAGCCGCTTACGGGGTGCAGGAGGATTATGCAATTGGAAAGCCATTAAGTAATGCTTGCCTATACGGACATTTAATGGAACACCTGTGCTTGGCCGGGCTTCTGGGGTGGTGCATTATCACTCTTTGGCCTAAGTAATTCTTGGTAGGGAGGTGGCTTCTCACGCTGCTGAGCCACTCCCCCAGAAAAAACAGTTTATTACATTCACTCACAGCTCAGACTTCATGAATCTTCTCAGAAGCAAGCTGAAAGATGTGGGTGGTCGGGACAGAAGGTTCCAAACTTTCCTCCCCACTATGTAGATTTTTGCTACTCATGCCCTACCTTGCTTGTGTCATCACAGGAAAAAAAGGCAATGATATAAACCCTTTTAGCTGCAGAAGAAGGGGCAGCAGTGGGAAGGTGCCAGTCCCTGCTCTTACTGCTTCTGTTCAGCTGCCCTTGGATGACTGAAGATGCTCTATAGTAACATTAGGAAAGGGTGTGTTGGTGGGTGGAGAAGTAACCTGCAGAAAGGATAATGCAGCTGAAGCCCATCTCTGAAGAGTGAGGCCTGCCTTGTTAGGACGTGTGTGCACTGTCATCCACAGAGGGGACTGTAATAGCGTGCTGGTCCTTTAAAATCCCCAATTTTAACGTCTGCCCTGCCTCTGCTTTTCTAGCTGCAAGCTGAGATCTAGTACCTCCAGTAGAAGAGTCATTTTTTTGTAGCCTGAAGTAATGCACAACTTTGACAACACCAGTCAGCTCTTTTGGTTCCTGTGCTGAGGACCAAGATGAATATTCTTAGTAGAGCCAGTGAATTCACTGCAGTCACAGGAGTGGGAGCGATCCCCGTGCTCTCAGCCCACGGATCCACCAGGTCAGCCTTTCAGAGGTGCTTCAAAGAGTACAGCTAACACTGCAGACCTTACTCATGAGTAAGCCTCACTGAACTTACTGGGGCTTCCCATTGGGCAGATGTGTATACATTCCTCTAAAAGTTTTAGCATATGTGCATGTGCACGCACACACACAAAGTAAAGTACAAAGGTGACACGTGTTTGAAAACATGCACATCATATGGTCATCAAAGTGCTTGGGTTGTTTACCTGTTTGCCCCTCTGTTCCAGGTATACTGGCTAGCAAAGCCGGCCTTCTATTCCTTGGTGGGCCAGTGTGTTCACTGAAAGCGTTCAGATTTGCTGAGGCCCCTGGTTATTTGCATTATTTAAAATGTGAGAGTGCTGTGTTGGTGTGTAGCCTGTGTGTGTGCCTGCTAAATTGTGTGTGTGTGAGAGAGAGAGACACACACACAGAGACAGAGACTGAGCTAGGCTGCAGGAAACTGCTTCCTGGGCAATGAGCATCCATGACATAACAAAGCCAAACTGGCTTATCAGTGCCTCCCAGGTGGGTCATATTCAGTTGCTGGTCAGCACCTGAAAATGAATGGTTGGAGAGACCAGGGTCCTTAGGAGGCATGGAGTTTTGGAGGTGCGGTGGGACTGAGCTCTGCTGTCGCACATATTGAGAATGAGGAAGCACACAAGAACACAACGTCGTACTGCAAATCAATCCCTCCAGAGCAATAGCCGCTGCCCTCGTGGGTTTCATGTCTCACAGTTTAATTTTCTGCCTCTCTATGTGGAAGTAAGACCTGTTGAGTCCAACAAAGCGCAGCTCTAGATAAGTGGGTATAGGCTTGCAATCTTTGTTTCTAACGTGGATTAGAATCACCGCTTCACATATAATGGAAGCATTGAAAGTGGAGAAAATCCATCTGTTTGCCTGCTCAGTTGGGATTATAAAATGATAGATGATCGGTAATAGGCACAGTTGTCTAACTGATTTGTGTGAACAGATCTTGAGTAATTTTGAAGGAGGAGGAAACAGCGGGATTAAAAATGGTACACTGTATAGCACCAAAGTACACATTCCTGGGTTCATCATCTGGGGAGGAAGGGGTTAATGCAATAGCAGTGTTTAAAATAAATACCAGAATATTTTTTATATGTATTTCTTCATGTAAGTCATTTAGGCACTTGTCATTGTAAAAGTGCACCTAAATCTCATTTGGCAGAACTGAAACATTTTTTTGTTTTCCTGCTGCAACCTAACAACTGTAAACATGCTTCAAAGGGAAGCGAAGCAGGTTACAAAAACAATCATCCTTAAGGTAGATAATACTTTCCATGTGAGACAGGCAGACATACATCCTGAGTTGCTCTGGCAGCAAGTGCAATGACTCACCAATCCAAGGTTTATTTTTCAACTTCTTGCTCCCTCAATTCTGCTATTCCTGTTTAGAGAAATAGTTGCAGCGCCGTTCAGCTGGGCGGTAGTGTAGGGCTGCACGATAGGGTTCCCGAGATGGGGTTAGCTGCTCCCCACCCCAAACACACACACACACACGCGCACACACGCTGCTGACACTGCTTCAGCAGAAGGGTGCCATGCTCTTCAGCTCCACTTGGCTGGCCAGTAGGGAGGGAGGAGCTCCGCCACAGCCATAAAGACGTTGGCAAAGGGTAGCGTGTGGCCTGTGGTCAGCCATACATGCAGTGGAACAAAAGCAGGGCCTCCAGACCATAGCATTGGTGGGGGCACAAATGCAACACTTGTAGAAGTCGCGTGATATTCCTTGATTTAAAAAAGGATGTGTTTCTTGACAGCTGCCAAAACATATTTTATCATTTGGGTGTCGAAACTGTGCCCATGTTTTCTGTCACAAAACTTTTCACCACCCACCGTATTTTTTTTCTTGAATTTCAAAATTTGGTAATGCCATAGCCCTGAAATGTCAGATGAATTATAATTAAGAAAAAAGCCCCTGGAGGGTCTGAGTTGTGTAATTTGGCTCAGTCTTGGTTGTAGGTTCACACACTGGAGGTTGGATGATTCCATTGATATTAGGGCTTTAAAATCAGGGGTAATTTTTAACCTTGGGATGGTGTCCTCTTGAGGTCCCCCTTGCATGCAGGGAGTCCGCCCTGGGAGTCCTAAACTTCTGGTGGCAACGCTGGGAAGGACGCTGGGAAGGGTCTTGGGGGGTGGCTTATGACTGCTGTGCAAGGCCCACAGAAGAGGGTTGCTGGCCGAGGATGGTGGCTGCAGGCAGGGGCCCTGTAATGAACGACCCAGGCGGGCTTTGAGGAAGGAAAAGGAGGGAAATGGTTAGATTAAGACTGGCAGAATATTCAAGACACCGTAAAACCAAGTAGGGAAGAAGTGGGCCAGGAGGGTCAAAGGCACATCAGCTTAACAGTATTTGGACGTCAAGGGGCAGTGTAAGCCCTGCAGAAAAGTAGAGAGAAATTCCCAAATGGTACATTTTACTGTGGCTGTTGTTATTGTTACTTTGTATTTATACCCCACCTTTCTTCATCTTGCAAGGAGCCAAAGGGGCTTACAAGTTCTTCTCCATCTTATCCCCATAAGAGCAGCCCTGTGAGGTAGGCTAGGCTGAGTCTGTGACTGGCCCAAAGCCATCCAGTTTGTTTCAGGAGTGAATGGGGACTAGAGTTCCTGATCTCCTGAGTTCAAGGACAACACTCTGTTTCTTTTGCATCTGGATTGATTAAGGCCACACTCCTAGAAATACTTTCCTAGAAGCAAGTCCTCTGAAAAATCATGACTTAATTACTGTTAAACTCAGGACTGCTTCCAAGCAACCATTCTTAGGAGTGTAGCCATAACTGATTTAAGAATAAAACTATCAGCAGTTAGTTTAAATAGGAATTCAAATGTGCTAAATATTTTTCTTAAAGTAAGGCTTATGTCTAATTAAGCATGGTTACAATCAGTGATGGTTCCATTTTACCTTAAAGTTGAACTTTAAGGCATGTAACCTTTTAGATTTGGCTGATGGATAATGTCTGTTAACTTGGAGGCTTTCGTGTTTCTTTCGCCACCAGATACTGCGCTAACAAAGGTACCAATCTAATTGCTTAGTGTCTGTTGTTACTGAAAACACCTAGATCAGTGGTCCCCAATCTTTTCGGGCTGCTGCCCCCTTTCCTCTTGGGTGACAAGCCTAGTGTCCCCATTCCTCCTTCTTTTATTAGGTCTGTTGCTCTAATGCAAATTTAAAGCAACCAGTCTCCACCTCTCTGGATCTTTCCACTGCTCCCAGGGGGTGGTATCGCCCCCTTTGGGAATCACGGATCCAAAGGATTACATTTTATATTTGAGATGATCATTATCGTAATGAAACATCATCATCATCTTCATCATTATTTGTTCTGAGAATGTTTAATCAGTGCTATAAATAAGCTTCATTTGGAGAGTGAAACCTGAAAAAGAAGTTATGTGATAAAACCTATAAATAAAGAGCTAAGAATGGCTCTCTTCCTCTTGAATTGAAATAGTTTTCAGGAAGGCATTATGGAATGAATCTGTAAGCATCTGAAATCCTAGTATTTTG